CAGCAGAAAGAAGGTAGTTGCGAGCCTTGCCCATGGCCTTTCGTCGGGGACCTTGAGCCTTGAACGAGTGGCGCTCTTCGACGCTCTGGCTAAGCTCAAAGTCAAAGTCCTTCTCGACAACCATGGCACTGTTGAAGGGGATCTTATCAGGGCGGCGCTGAATGCGATCCAGCTCGGAAGCGAGAACAGCGAGGGTATCGTCCTTGGAGTCGCCGACAAGGAAGGCGAGGTCGATCAGGTGGTGAGGGTACGTAAGTTCTGCGATCAGCTCAAAGTACTTTGACAGGTACGGAGCAGCATCCTTGAGAGGCGTGAGGATCAGGACGCGCTCCTCGTTGGTAACGGCCTTGCGCGTGGACTTGATGGGGTTGAGGTCAACGTGGATGATGGAGGTATGGTTGATCTCCAGGGGTTCGTGGTGGTTAAAGATGACGGGGGTCTGGAGGTGACCGGCCCATGAAGCTTGCTCATTGAGGGACATCTCCATGGGGGGTTTCGCGGGGCCCCAGCAGTAGAAGCTGCACGGAATCACAAGTCAGCAAGCTATTATTTCTGCAGCGCATCGCAGGGAAATATCGCGCCCCCTGGAGAGGGAGGTTCGCCAAGTCGGTGACAACATACCTCTGCATTTCCGAAGCTGACGAGCGAATACCGCGCCATAATAGCAGAATGGTGCCGGTCAGGGCAATGAGGAGAAGGAAGCGCGTTCTAGTCAAAAAAGACCATACTGCTCTGGTGGGAGGTAGTCTGGCCTGGGCAGACTTCCAGTTGATTCCGCCTTTGGGGAGAAGCATGGCTCCGGAGAATGAAAGGGTGGTCTTTGACACCACCCGAAAAACACGTCTTTACAGAAAGAAGAGAATGACCGATAGGTACCCCGGCACAGCGAGTGTCCGCAGTCGCAGAATTGCAGACGTGAGGGCGTCCTCTAGAGGTTGTCGCTATTGACTATCGTCGTTGTCGCGCCAGATTGAAGGCTGCACGTATCGCTTAAGGGCGGCCGACGGTCGGTGATGTCGCGCAGACAAAAGATTGAGTAGCACAAGCCTCCCCAAGACAAGTCCGAGTCGACAAGCAAGTTGGTGAGGTCGGAAGCAGGAGGTTAACTGATTGGGCAGTTTCGTGTCGTCCGATAGACAGCAGTGGTTGCAGCACACACTCCAGAAGGGGGTGGGCCAAGGCTGACGAAAGCCAAAAGGTCGTCGATTGAATTGATAAGGGTTGAGAGGTCCAGAGATAGTAGGACGACTCAGTATCAGGGATCCCGTGGAAGGATAAGGTAGTGTGCGGTGCGATGCGGTTCGCGGTGTCAAGGCGAATGTGCAAAGGTGTACTTTGGTGCTCTTCCAACCTTGTTGAAGTCCTCAAAGGGAACGCGAGATGATTTCGGCCAGAAGTTTTGTCGAGGGCAAGAAGACGAGCGAGGGACATTCGGGTAAGCCCAGCAGGAAGGGGAAGGAATTGAGAAAGGAGCCACGCCAATGCTGAAAGGGCCCCGAAAAAAAATGGTCGACCGGGAGGAAGAGCGACTGGTGTGGCAGGCTTGGATGGTATAGGCTAAGGCACGTCGAGGCAAGGCAGGCGCAGGCACTGAGGTAGGCTTGGGTTGGTGGGAGAGGCAGGGTACATGCAAGTACGCGGGAGATGGAGGGCAGGCACAGTCAACTTGGAGATTACACCATGTACCGTAGCTCACCACTCACCCTATTACTCTGCAGTGTTGCACCACACTCTCTGAATTCAAACGTACAGACCATAGCTTATTGCCTCAGTCCACAGCAAACGAGAAAGGAGAAAGAGAAGAGTTTGGCCTGAGGTGAACCACGGATCTCGCCAACTTTGCCTACTGGACCCTTACCTGAGCACGCACATCATCACCGTTCCATAAGGTAATAATTGTCTGCCTGCCCATTAAGGTAGGTACTTTGGCTGACCTTGGAACAGGCGCAAGAAGCAGCTGCAACCCGCGGCTCGACAGCAGCAGAAAATACGAAGAATGAGCCAATGGCAAAGCCTCAAAAAGTTTAATCAGGTTAGCAGAAGTACCGTCTTGTATCGACTGCCCTCAGCACGCGAGATTGCCGGAGCTGCCAAGCGCTTCTGGACTCAGGAGAGACTGTGCCGCAACCTGAAGGTACTTTGCCCTTTTCTCTGCTCTCTCTCTGTCTTTCTGTCTCCCTCCTTGTCCTACGGATACTATTCTCCCGTCCATTTCTGAGGACCTCATAACTGTAATTCAATTCCACGACGTGTCTCCCCGCTCATCTTTCCAGGATCAACAAACGGGGGCTTCGTGGGAAGCACGCGCCCCCTTTCCACCATCCATCTGTCAGCACAGTCAACTCAGAACCCCAGATGCTTGCGGCTTGCGGCCTGCCATCTTCAGCATGAAGGAGCGGAAGCCTGAGTAGCCAGCAGGAAATCAGCTGAATGACACAACCGCCCGCCAAGGGACAGGTTATCTCTCGGAGAGCAGAAAGAATTGCAGGCCTACCCCAGTGTTCTCCAGGGTGCCCGGCCGCAACGTCCCCAAGCGCGGAACACCTAATACCTACTACTAACAGTATCTTCGTTTTTGTTGGTGCATATGAGAGCAGAATCGCTAACCGGACTGAATACAGAAGCACTCGATGTCAAGAACTCGCTCGTCTTCCGAGGCCAACGAAACTAGACGTCCCTGAACCAGCCCAGAAGCATGACAAGTTGCAACTAACTAACTCGACTTCTGTCACCTTGTCAGTTCAACGGCGCCACGCTACCCTAGGCTCGAAGGGCGATGGTTTACGGCTCTCTCCCCCGTCACTCAAGACTTCAGTTCCTGATGTTATTCCACTGATAGATGGCGCCGATGGCACGCAGCTCCACCCTTGCTTTGCCCAATATCCGATGTTACGGCACCACATACCATCGCAGGTAGCGACTCCCCGATGCTGGCCTGTGCGAATGGCTGGGCTAGAACCGCTATCCGCATCTCGATTCGTCCAACCGTTAATATTATTGACCATGGCACGCACGCCGCACACACACACTCACACGGCACGCTCAATTCCTATCACCCGCACCAAGAAAGTTCAAGCTCTTCGTGCAGCTGTACTACTGTATACTAGGATTCGCGAGAAGCAGAGACGAGTCGGCCCAAGACAATTCTTCGTCAAAACAATAAGCTAGGCCATTCCTGCCAACCCAATCACCCCCCGGAAAAGTCTCAGAAAAAGCATGGCGCGGGAAGACGGCGAGAATCGAGAGATGGATGGAGACTTGACAGAGAGAGGGGGAAGGGATAGGCAGGGATCGCGGTCAATCTCCAACCCGCCACATCCACTATCCCACTCACGCACGTACGCGATTGCCACACCCGGAAGACAGAAAAATGGAGATACTCCCAGCTGTCCAACTCTCCGACTGCCAATGCACAGCAATCTTTCGAGAATTCGTCTCCAGTGTCCCTCTTCCCCCCTCTCTTTTCGTCTGTTCCGCTCCGCGATGGTCTCCTCATGGGCAGCGGAAGGGACAATGCTTTTCCCTTCCGGTCTTCCAGAGGTCCAGCCCGCGTGCTGGCCATGGATCAGATGGAGCAACAGTCGTCGTCATCCGGCATCATCACGGGCATAGACGATGGATCCCATACCCCCACACCCCCACAGTTCCGCCGTTGCGTGTGCAACTTGTCAACTCCTGATCCGGCTTAATACCAGGTGTGCTTACAGGAGGTGAGGAGGCAGGAGGCAGGGGAAACGAATGGATGCAAAAGATGTTGCTTTCCAAATATTACCTCGCTGATCATTCCTACTCCCCGCCTCTTCAGGCTGTTGGTTGCGTGCACCGCATGCTGTCCACGACTCCCGGAGGCAACGGCCCAATTATGCACACAGCACCATCGAATCATCGATTCAACGGTGATCTGTCACCCTCAAATAGCAACATGCCAACGCTCGTTTTGTGGGAGCTCTCCATCCTGCGTTCAAGCAAGGAACTTGGAAGTCCACGTGCTACTTCTGACCACAAATCAAGCCGTATGGTGATCGATTGCCAGCATCTACTAGTCAAGTGCTGGTAGAGAAATCGAAGCCCGATATCGCATTCGATTTCGTATACCCGTAAAACGGCCCTCATTGACCGTTGACTGCATGGTATAAACCAGCAAAAGCAGTCCACGCTACAACTCGTATGTGACGAATACGAGGCGGACAAAAAACGGCATCATATCGCAGTACGGTCAACAGATCAATATACATTGCCGCTGAGAGATATCGGACGACGAGCATCATTCAATCCGATCAGTATCAGGCACGGGCTGCCTCCATCTTCCCGGGACTGTGCTCTGTCGCAGAACCTCCCTCACCTTGACCAAGTTGGTTCGTCCGACCATGACAATACCTGAAGTACAGGAGAAACCAGGTCCTTGGCTGAGTAAGCCGCTCTCTCCAACAGGCAGGCATGCGTCGATCCAAGCGGGAAGCTCTCGCAGTTCCCAAGAGCAGTGAAGAAGCACTTCATCATCCCCCCCGTGCGCCCCCCAACTCCAGATGACAAAGCACTAGCAGCGCCAGCCGTGTGGCGGCTCCAGAGCCTCAACTGCTGGCAAGGCCCTCGTTGTTGCCGTGAATGTCAACGACATTGCTACAGACGCAACTGCAACGCACTGCTACTGCAATCAAGTGAACAACGTACTCCGCACCCAGATTTCAGCTCTAGGTCGACCGGATAACTTGAAAAGTGCCTTTTAGCAAGTCAATGGCGTACGAATGAGGATTCATTCCAGCCGTCATTCTGTGAGCTCCCTTTCTGCTGCACGGGGATTTGTAAGTGTACGACAACACTTGATATTCAACTTGGGTGACTCTCTCTTCACTCACGGCGGCCGGACAATAGCCCTCATCACTGCAACATCACCTGAGAATCTACGGCACCACTCGTCATCGTCAAGGTCATCACGAGAAAAGTCATCACGAGAAAAGTCATCACGAGAAAAGTCATCACGAGAAAAGTCATCACGAACAATGGCGTCCCGCAGGTCAGCTCGACTGAGCGCCCAGACAGACATCAAAATCCCACCTCCTCCTACCATCACAGCACCTGCCCCTCCGGCGCCAAAAGGCCGGAAGAGAAAGACTCCGACAGAACCCGCACCAACCGATCCGGCCCCGTCTTCTGACCCGGTCACACCGCCGAGAAAACGGGGTCCCAAGGCCGCAGGCCCGGCGACACCCACCCCAAGCGCCGTCGGCCTCATCGCCGAACGCGTCAACGGCACCGCGAAGAAGCCCAAGGCCAAGGCCGTAAGCCGCCTCGCTAACCCGAAACTCACCAACGCTCCCGTCATCTCACCCGAGACGTCGAGGGTCATCGCGTCCCGTTCCGTTGAGGCGGCATCTCCCTCCAAGGCACCGACGGGGGGAAGTGCCCAACGAGGAGACGCAAAACGAACAACCACGGCCAACATCCTCGAGGAAGCGTGCCGCCATCTCATCGAGGTCGACGAGCGCATGAAACCCCTCATCGAGAAGAATTACTGCCGCGTCTTCTCGCCCGAAGGTCTCGCTGAAAAAGTCGACCCCTTTGAGAGCCTCTGCAGCGGCATCATCTCCCAGCAGGTCTCGGGCGCCGCGGCACGATCCATCAAGAACAAGTTCGTCGCTCTCTTCACAACAGACGATGAAGCCGAAGCCGAAGCCAACCCCGAAGCAACTGAGTCGACAGTGTCCGGGTCTGGGTCCTCCAAGAAGTTCCCCCAACCGTCAGAAGTAGCCGCCCGCTCAATCGAGAACCTCCGCACCGCAGGCCTCTCGCAGCGGAAAGCAGAGTACATCAAAGGCCTAGCCGAGAAATTTGCGACGGAGGAGCTGAGCGCCCAGATGCTCGCAGACGCGCCCTACGAAGAAGTGCGGGACAAGCTCATCGCCGTCCGCGGGCTGGGCCTGTGGTCCGTCGAGATGTTTGCGTGCTTCGGGCTCAAGAGGATGGACGTGTTCTCGCTGGGCGACCTGGGCGTGCAGAGGGGGATGGCGGCCTTTGTCGGACGGGACGTGGCCAAGCTCAAGGCCAAGGGCGGCGGCAAGTATAAGTACATGTCGGAGAAGGATATGACGGAGATGGCGAGCCCGTTTGCGCCGTATCGGAGCGTGTTTATGTGGTACATGTGGAGGGTCGAGGAGACTGATATAAGCACACTGGAGTGATTAGTCGGGGTTACATACTTACACACAGTAAAATAGCCTTTTTCTTTTCTCGGAAGGCAAGAAATTGCAGACATTACCAATGAGGCATGTGGAGTGTCCGGAAAGGATACGAAGTCCCCGGCGATACGAGATGTCGACTCTCTCGCACATACCCAGGAAAGGCCAGAACCAGACGAAAGGGTTAGCCAAGCTTCTTGCTTCCCCGACGAAAGCTCTCGGTAGTGAAGAACGAAATCATCTTCAATCTGTTTTAGTCAGAGTTAAGCGGGCTACGGGACAGATCACAGAGAACGCAACCCATGTCGTCCCTCAACTTCTCAAGAGTCAAGACTACTTACTCCGTACGGAGTATTTGGGATTACCCCAATGCCCCGAATCAATCAAGCTTTCAGGCTTACCATTACCAGCCTTGTGCTACGGTCAAAATTAGACTTGCACTTTTCAAGGTTTTGCCTGTCCCCGAGAATACGCCGTGCGGACGGTTCAAGCTCTTTCAGCCTCAGAGAGGGAAAAGCGGCGCAGCTCTCTCATTTGTGTTTGGAGTTTGCGAGACGTTGCAAGTTGACTGTGACGCACCGGCCACGAGTGCCACAAGCAAAGTGACGAGCCCCGCGACAACGACAGCGACACCGAGACCCGACGGGAGGCCAACGGCAGCTTGCAGCTGCCGCGGGCCGTGTTAAGGCAGAGCAAAGAGGCGGTTCGTGGCAGGAACGGGAAAGCTTTCCACGCGGATGCTCCGTCTGGGCCATCCATCGTGACCGTGGGATTTGGGGGGGGGGTGTTGAACGTGCGTCAGCCAAGGATGTCGATGTTTGAAGTCTTGTCGCAGGATGAACATGTTGTTACCAGAAGTCCAGAACAGCTGAAGAGCATCAGGTATTATCTGCGTCACAAACTGCAGGGTAACGCATGTTGCTTTGCGCTCGTGGCCCCACGACAGACATCAAGACTCTTGCGTTGGAAACTGTGAGCGACGTTCCAAGGCGATCTACAGAGTAATACGGAGTACGGATACCAAGCAATCGTCTGAGTCCAGATATCTGTCCCAGATATCCGTCGTGCGGCAGCCAGCCACCCGTGACAAAGATCAGCCGCGATGGAAGATCGGTCGTTGCACTCTTTGTGCTTCGGAAGCGCTCCTGTTTAGCCAGCGCCGTTCGTGCCGTTGGGCGGTTTACAGAAACGGCAGCCACAGCACCTGAGCAGCGTGCAGAGCCACTGGAAAACCTGGAAGTCTTGGGCATCCCCCCCTGCAAGCCTGAGAGATTGTGAAGCTAGGATGAGCGCGGACAAGCCGGGGGGGGGGGGGGGGGGCGGGTGTGCCACTAGCGTGGGATGGGACGGGCAAGCAAGCCGCCCGGGAACAAGATGCAGGAAGAGATATCGAAAATGAACACTGGCATGTGGTAATATGCTGCGCAGCAGCGATGCAATCTTCCTGCGTTGTTAGTTCTTTCGTCTATCGCTTGTATCCGTATTGTCATTCCGACCTCCTATTTCTGGTGGATATCTATCGGCTGATGATCAGACTGCATTGAACACAGAGATGGCAAATCTCGGGAAAGCGAGACAGGCACTGGTGGTTGGGGCGAAAAGGCAGCAAGAATGCCATCGGGTATTCGTATATCGGTTCGTACTTGTATACCACTTTGACTCGTTGTCTCGGTGCGGCATCGTGGCAGAACCAATCCGGGAGGCAGCTTCAGTTCCGACCAGTCGCAGCCGAGTGTGCTGTTGCGGGCTGCTGAAAAAACCCAGGCGAGAATGGACTGGTGGGAGGCAAATAGTCGTCAGCGCTCAACCGCCTCTCGCAAGTCCGGGCTCGCTGGTTTCGTAGAACCGTATTGGCGTATTCTTGGTAAGGCCTTAGCGTCCGTGTAAGTAGATGTCGAAATGGCTAGCGACGCGAGACGACAGTGAACTGTCGTGCCGTCGCCGTTGATGGTGGTGAGGGCCCACGAATGATGAGGGTCGTATCGCCGTGGTTGGTTCCTGGTATCGACTCCGTCTCATCCACCACTGCACCGCTGCAGCAACACTGCAGATAGGATTGACTGTCAGAGCCGATGATTGCAGATGGACCGCAGCGAGCCCCGTACACCCGCTTTACGCTGCCGTCAGTGTTGAACCGTCAACGAGTGGCGGCGACCAATGATAAAGTGATACTCTTGTTGGACGCGTCGCGCTATCTGCACTGCCAACTTCTTGCCTGTGGGTTGCAGTCCTGATCAAGGCCGCCTGCCGCCTGCCAAAGCTTGAGGGCGTGAGGGCCAGGCGACTCGCGAGCCAGGCATGATTTGATATCTGCCTGCGAGTGGCCATCCGTACTCCGTACACTATGACTGAGCCGAAGTTAACATGCTTTAAACTTGCTTCTTCCCGACCCTCGTCACAGTTTCTGTCGAGTCCAGGCCATGGCCGTGTTCGGATGGCCGAGCAACTGCGTCATTGACTGCAGCGGCTCCTGGTGGTGCTAGCAGTCCTGAATTGATGGATCTCTAAATCAAAACAACGTGCCGCTCAGGAAGATGAAACAATTTGTGGATGGATGGCCGGCGTAGTCTGCGTTTTTGTTTTTTTCATCCTTCTTGTTCGCGGCGGCCGGTAGTGGCGTGCTGGGCAATGTACCTGGTACAGACTTGGCACCATTTGCGATGGCTTTTTCTCTGGGATGGATCATGGAGGCGATCAACGATGGGGATTCGATGCCAGCTGAGCAAGGCCTCGATGATTCGAGCAGGAGCTTTTGGACAGCGGGTTGTTGGCGGCACCCATCGGTACCAATACGGACTGGGTGTGTGAACAAAAGAAGGTCGGACCGCAGATTGATTGCCAGAAGAAGCCTGGCTCGGGACGGTGGGAGTTGATTGGTGGCGGAAGGAGGGCCAATTGTGGATTGGTAGTCCTTGAGTTGTGACACTTTTGCGAGAGAGAGAGAGAGGAAGTCCCGGCTGGGGCCTCACTGGGTCTTAGGCGCTATCAACGCAGTAGATTGGTGGTGGGTGGTCACTGGTGAGTGTTGTTTACTATCGTCTGCGAGTGGGAGGTGGTCTTGGTGGTTCAGGCTTTCCAGCAGCCGCGGCGGCGCAAAGTCTCAGAGTCTTGCCAGTGGATACTGGGGCTGGTTTCTCGCGTCTGACCTTGGCAGGGCCTTGTGCGGGATGGATAACTGGAGAGTGGGAGAGTCCGTCGGCCATTCCCATGTCCATCCACCTCCGTTTTGGGAGGCCTGACCTTACTGCGCAGGGTCAAGTGCAGCAACTTATGTAAGGTACAGACATGATCTGTGGAGGCATTTGGAGGCGAGGCGAGGCGAGGCGAGGTGGATGATCCATCATGGCTGCTATGTGTTGTTGTTTATTTTGCTTGTGCTTGTTGCTTTTGTGTGGTTGTGCTACCATTGCCTACTGATCATTCGCCTAGGTTATAGGTATTCGTACCTGGGCACTCGGTATTGTAAAATGTGTGCGCTCGTGTCGAGAATGGTCCAGAGAGCAGAGACCACACATAATGGCTGGAAGGTTTCGCATCGGCAGGCCTAGCGCATTGACTTCTGGACAGAATTTTCGGTCGAGGCGTGACAGAGAGAATGGAGAGTTGGATCGAATTACGTCTTTGGGGAGTGAACAAATTGGACGAGGAATGCCTCTGTGCTCGTCTCTGTGCCCGGGAATTTCGTGGGAGCGAGAGTCTTGATTCTTTTGACTGTGCATGTGCATGTTCGTCCTATATATCAGCAGAGACGTCAGCTCTCGCAAGTCCACCTAGTCAGTCGAATTGCCTTTTTGGAGTAGACAGATGTAAGGTTTTCGCTGACTATTGTCAATTGAGTTGTCTGACTGACGGGAAGCTGTGTGTTTGCATATGTGTGGTGGTGTGTCAAGAGTGTATTGTATGTGTGTGTATGGTGACTGTTCGCTGTGGCCGTGAGAGGGGGTTGTGTGTATTTTGCGGTACGTATCTTCACAAGGAACACCCCCCTTTTCTGAAGAGATCCACTATCAGAGCAGAGAGTGTGGGTGGGTCTCCTCATCTCTACCCCTTGCCCCTGTACTAGTGCAAAGAGGGAGATGGATTGCTCCAAAGTGGTTCCCGATGGGCGGAGCTAGGCCAGAAACCAAGACCTTCAAATCTCGCCAGACCGGTGGAAGCAGGGTTATTCGCAGAAACTTGATGCCATGGCGGCCGGCTGTTGCGTTCATTGCGATTCCATCATCACTCTAATCGGATTATCTACCATTCAATATTTGCTACGGCCTTTTGCTCCATCCCGATGCGTCAAGGAAGGAAAATTCTAGATAGCAGATCCCCCATGCAGAGCCTTTCCTATCCATAAGGTACCTATGGAAGGAGGCTCAGGCTTTGGAGTCGGCAGATAAACTCTGGCGGAAAAAGGGGGCCGGGGGAGGCGTGCCTGTAGACGGCGAGCAAAAAGGAAAAAAACACAGACTGAAGTTACTGAACTCGCTGGAGGAAATCCTCCTCCCAGAATTCCTGCCAAATAAGCAACCCACTGACTGCTGCAGCCACGACAGATTGAACAGACAGACAAATGATCAGATCAGATATACGCATGACACAGACTCTGCCAGTGCCAGTGTGTCTGTCTGCGACCTGCCAGCGTCAAACGAAAACGACCTGCAAGTCGCGACACCATATCCACAGCAGCGGCATCTCACGGGGGTTCCGTCGACGCCGTAGCACATTGATGAGACCCAAGTTCCCAACTGAGTTGAGTAGCTCGGCGCCGTGCCAGCTGAAATACCTACAGGACTTGAGCCCAGTTTGAAGTAGACTGTCTTTATCAACCCAACTTGAGAGACTAACATGGCAGACTACGCAGTAAGTACTTCCATAGTGACGATGCCCGATGCTGGTGCTGCGAACCGCATGAGTGCTTAACTACAGTCTACAGAGTATGGACTACACCATCTTCAATCTCAATTCTCCCTCTCTCCCTCTCACACACACACACACTCAGTCGCTCCCTCATCCAGGCTTGGCTTCGGTCTACAGTCTACACTACAGACTACGGATACCTTGGACTGCTGGAGGCGCCGGTCCGTCAATTCTTGGCCCCAGTTCCAGTCTTGACCACACCCTCGCCGGCCCTGGTCCCTGTCTTGGTTACTTCGTACCCGCAGCGTGCACCACGAATAGCAGCGTGATAATTACCTTGACCCCCCTTCTTTCGGGCCATTCCTTGCCTCCCTCTCTCTCTCTCTCTCTGTTGTTAACAGTAACTTGTATGGAAGAGCGGCGCAAGAGATACTTTTCCCATACACACACCCCCCTTCTCCAAAAAAAAAAAAAAGAGTGTTTCCCCTTCAAGCCACACCCTCCTGGGTCTTCCACTCTCTACCTGACTACGGATACGGATACCTCTATTACCCTTCATAGCGCCAGTCCACCAGCGGCACCACTCAAAGTCCAGTCTCCTCCATCCCTTCCCTCCCCAGATCATTTTCTTCCTCTTCCCTTTCCGTGACAGCTTCATTTCTGTTCGTTTTGACATTCAATTCCCGTCTCTCGTTCACTCCTCTGTACGCAACACAAGGCTTTCGTGTCCTGCCTTCAACAACAAAGCTTCCCTTTTCTATATCACCAAGAAAGAGAAGAACAAACACGTGGATTCAAGGTACGTGACTGTCGTGGAACGAAACGGAAAACAAGACCCAACACGAGGAAGGAAGTCGCGGGCAAGAAGGAGAGCGGAGAGCGAGCGGCTGCCAATGCTCGGCAGGAAATCGCTATCCATTGCTTGCCGCGTCGTGGAATGCCCTCTTGCCTCCTCTTCACTTCCTCCTGCCCCAAAAACACATTGCCCAATTCCATCACGTCCCACCAGCCTCTCTCTCTGCCCTACGCCTCTTTCTCTCTCCACCGTCGGTCATAGTCGACATCTGGGGGGAAAAGGAGTCGCTCGCAGGTTCCTTCAGAAACACACAAGAAACACCGGAGCCCCATATCCAACCAATTCCTCTCTGACCCGCGAACGTCAACTTCCTTCACTCCCTTCCCTCCTCTCCCTCTACAACCAACGTCGAGCTTTTTGGAACACCGCCTCAGAGTTACCGACCTGGAGTAGACTCCAATCAATCAACGCTTCCATTATCTTTCCGTTCAAACCACCATCGCGAGCCATCGACTCTTAACAGATAAACTGACACCGAAAACCACAGCGTCCAAATCAATCACAATGTACTCCAAGCTCATCACCGCCCTCGCGGCCGTCGGTGCCGGTGTTGTCTCTGGTATGTGTTGCTCGAAGCACTCCATCTCTGAAATGTACGCTTTCTAACCGCAATACGCTATCTCTAGCCCAGAGCACCAACCTCTGCTCATCGGCCACTGTTACCATCACCGATGCCGCCATGGCTACCGCCCTTCCCTGCACCACCTTCACCGGTTCCGTCAAGATCTCCGAGGACATCACCGGCAACATCGATATCAACGGCCCCAAGACCATCAAGGGCGACCTGATCGTTACCAACGTCACTCAGCTTGTTGGCCTTACCTCCTCCACCCTCGCCTCCGTTGAGGGTATCTTCCAGATGCAGGGCCTGACCCTCCTCTCCGACCTGCGCTTCACCTCGCTCGCCACCGTTGGCTCTATCAACTGGGTCACCCTCCCCGCCCTCGGCTCCCTGGTGTTTGGTACCGCCGGTGTCACCAAGGTTAACGACATTCTCATCAGCGACACCTTCCTGAAGAGCTTGGACGGCCTGAACGTCGCCTCTGTCGACTCCCTCCGCATCAACAACAACAACCAGCTTGTTTCTTACAGCAACCAGCTGGCCAACGCCACCAAGACCATCGAGATCAACTCCAACGGCCCCGACTTGGGCATCACCCTTCCCAACCTTATCTGGGCTGGTGAGATCATCATTGCCGATGCCGCCAAGGTCCAGATGGACTCCCTCGAAGTCGTCAACGGCTCCATCAAGTTCGACAAGAACACCTTCACCGAGTTCATCGCCCCCAACTTGACCCAGACCACCGACGGTGATGTTTCCTTCATCAACAACGTTGAGCTCACCAACCTGTCTCTGCCCCTCCTTACCAAGACTGGTGGTGGCCTTACCATCCAGAACAACACCCTTCTCCAGAAGATTGACGGTCTCCCCAAGCTGAAGCAGATTGGCGGTGCCGTCCTCCTCCGTGGCAACTTCACTGAGTAAGTCTGTCGACACATTATATTTTAGTGACGAATCTAACAATCGTACAGGGTCGACCTTCCCGCTCTTGAGGACGTCAAGGGTGCCTTCGACACCCAGTCCACTGGCGACATTGACACCTCTTGCGATGCCTTCAACAAGATGGAGGGCCGCCAGATCCAGGGTGACTACAAGTGCCGTTCCAACAACACCAACGCCAACAAGGACGGTGACAGCAACGGCGGCTCCGCTGGTGGCTCCACCAACAACAAGGATGGCGCCGCTGGCAGCGTCGCCGTCAACACGGCCATTCTTGGCGCTGCTGTTCTCTTCGGTCTTACTCAGCTGTTGTAAACGACTGGCACTGGAAATACGGGCTCGGATAATGGTGGCGTTCTCCATACATCTTTCACTGTTTGTGCAATTTCTTTACAGCAATCCTGTCTTAACAGCTTGCGAAAAACCCCCACACGCATTCCCTAGACTGGGAACCTCCTACGTATAGGAGAACCTCTAGACTTAATACTGGACGATGGGTGGAGATATAACGGACCCTCGTCAACTTTTTACTCTCTTTTGCGTGACGAACCAAAAGCACCTACAGACCAACGCGTCGCGTCGTTTCTACCGCCATCATTCGGTTCCGACCACGTCACGCTACATATCCCGCCTAGACGATTTTGGGAAAAGGGTTCGGTCGAGCGGCATGTCGAGAGCTTGGATGATGGGTGGTTAAACACGGGCAGTGGCAACGGCAGATACCTGGCGGAGGCGTGAGATTGATGGCGGACAAGAAGGCGGCGATAGGCAACGAAGATAGAGAGGGCTGTAGTGTGTATTGAGGATCCATGATGTGTATACCTTTTTCTACTTTTAACGTTTCACTGTGTCTAATTCCTTCGAAAGTGACTTGTCTGATGTGATGAGATGACCTGAACAAATATCATCTTACCCCCGTA